AGTTAAATCCAAAACTGAAGAAAAGTAGAGCTTGCAGACAAAAGAAAATATTTCTATAATCTTGGCTTTGGTGATGAATTTTAATATACAACCCCCAAGAAAAATCAAAGAAGATAAATATGATAGGAGTAATTTCAATAAAATGAAAATGTTGTTTAAAAAAAAAAACAAAAATGCTAACAAATGAAAACACAAAGCTTAGATTAGGAGAAAATGTTTACAAAACACTTGTCTGCTGGGAAGCAGGGTTCACTGCACATCAGCCAAGAAGATTAAATCTCAAGTTAAAAGTGGACTAAAGATATAAACAGACAGCATATGAAATATGCAAAATATGGTGAATGGATATGAAAAGATTACCAATATAATTGCTTTTTTTAGAAAATGAAATTTAAAACAATGTTGAGAGATTACTGCACAACAGGTAAAATAGCTAAAATCCAAACAACACAAAACAAAATTAAAACATGAAAAAAGAAACAAGCAAACAAACAACAAACAAACAAAAAAATCCCTGGTGCTGGTGAAGATGGAGGCAGGCGGACAGGAAATGAAAAACTCGTCATTGCTTCCTAGATGACAGATATAAAGCCACTTAGTAACCTTTTACGCTCTTACAAAATTAAATCTAAACTTCCGTACAACTCAGCTGTCATACTCCTGGATAATTACTCTGTTGACATAAGAACATTTTTGCACACATAATTGTACACATAAGTGTTTATATTATCTTTATTTATACTCACCCAAAAACTGCATTTAATTGAGATGTCTTCCAATTGGAAAAATGAAAATCAACTGCATTACATAAATACTGTAGAATAATGTTCATTGGTCAAAGGAAACAAGCTATTATTTCACTCAAGAATGCAGACTAATTTTAAAGGTGTATTTCTAAGCATGGGACTCGGTCTGAGATGTCTGTATCTTGTATAATTCCATTTACATGACATTATCAAGGGGACGGAACTCATAGAGATAAATAAAAAAGATGAATGGTTTATGAAAGCTTTAGCAAAGGAAAGGGCTGCTTTGTGCAAACAGGGAGGTTTTTAGAATGATGAAAGTATTTTCTGTGGTAATGTAATGGTAAACTCATGGCTCCACTTCTAAAAACCCATATAACTTGATTGCAGGAATGAACTTTAGTAGCTTCATATTTTTAAAAATTCACTACCGTAATTGGGGACGTGTGCATTGATTTAAGACTAGCAAAAGCCTTCAGCTGCCCTGCAATATATAATACGGCCTCACAGTAGGTGATTGACAAAGAGAGGTGCTGACCTCAGTAACTTCAGAATAAGCTGCCAACTGCGCTTCTAAGGGCAAAGAGTCAGTGTGCAAGCACTGTGCTCCAGTTGGTAGAGTTGTTTTACATGGGAAAATTGCTGTATGTGCATACTCAGAATTACCAAACAGCAAAATTGATACTCAATGTAAGATGCCAGATTTCTCACTTTTGTGGAGGGAATGAACATGAGAAATGCAGTAGCACATTGGGGCTGGGGTATCCGTCTAAACCCATGATCAGCTTGAAAACACTGAACTGAATATTTGTGGAAACAATTATATTTGTTAATACAAGAGGTAGTAAAAGTGTATGCAAGCATCCAATGATTCTCTCCACTGAGAGCACCTAGAAATGAAAGCACCAAGGGGCAAAGAACACACTTACCCCTCAAAAGTTTGTTTATTAGACCATTTCGAAACAGAAGTAACCTGGACTCGTTGCATTCATTGATAATTCTACATATGGGTAAAGGAGGACATAAGATGGGCCTAGACTCTTTTATAATAGAGAGAGTAAGCAAATTCTCAAAAGTCAAAACAACTAGCGTATGTCAAAATGACATAGGAGCCAAGTGAAAAGGTTTTAGTGATAAGAATGGGAACTTTTTGAAAATAGTATCCTAATTGATTATAACTAAACATACAAAAATTCATAAATACATACCTACATAAGTTATTTGACACATCAATTTCTGGGAACTAGTTGAAATCTTCTTACAAAGTAACTTTTAAAAGTGCTGTAGATGCCACCACCTTCCACTCACCCCCTTGCAAGGGGGATTATCATCACTTCCGTAAGACACAAGCCATACTGGGTGATTTTTATTTTCAAAGAAAATAAAATGGAAACAAAGGGAAACAGAGGTAAGTTAGTATACATTAGGGAAATGTGTGTGTGTGTGTGTGTTTAAGCATTGAAAATCAAGTTTCTAGGTAACAATAATAGAAAATTGGTATTTACTGTGTTAAAACAGATTTATATCCTAGCTCTGTACAGTTTTGCAGTAAGGATGAATTACTGCAGTATTTCTTTGATGAGACTGATATTTAGATTCATGTGTAATAGCTGCAGTGATAGGCTTTATATTGTTAAATACTCAGCTCATTTTGACAGATCCAGCGATAAAGTTATTTTCCACATGCTGGTAATTAGCTTTAGTGACAGCCAATATAACAAAATGGATCTTTAACCAAATAATGGAATGCACAGTGTGTTAATTCCAAACGATTTCTTTTGAATGCTAATTTGCTCCTGATTACATTATTGTTGCAGGTTTGGGCTGTTGAGTTTTATTTTGTTTTGTTTTGCTGACTCTTAAGAAACTAACCTAAACTTAATATCTTCTCAGAGCTTCCTTTCTGCTGAAACGGAAGGAAAATTTACTTGCCTCATTTTCAGGTCCTTGTAAATGTAGAGGGACTCAGTATCTGAGAACTAGACTCACACACGATTTGTAAAGCAAGGAAGAAAAAAACAACCAGTGATTGCCAATAATCAGATTTCAGCTCCAGTTCTGTGGGTCTGGAATTTTGAACTTTGGCTTCTGGAGTTCTTCTATTTGCAAAGATCTGCAGCGTTTGTGTCACAATTCATATTTTAACTTTTGTTGGGGTATTTCATACTATTTCTAAGCCATTTCCAGTTAGGTAAATGTAAGGATAAAAGAACCATTTGGAATGAATAAAAAGATAGGTATTAGAGTTGAGCAAGAATATGGTTTTTTGAAGAACAATATCTCTAAATTAATGCCAATGTTTCTTCAACCTCAATATCTGTACGGACAGTATTCTAAAATGTTGATGCTTTTGTAAATTTTTCCAAATGAACTGAAGTCATGATCTGTAAATTGCTTTAAAATAGAATTGATCGTTAGTCACGAAATAAGAAATTGAACCACATTATTTCCCTAGGTCCTTTTCATTTTTAAATCTAAAACCATTATTTCTTTTGACCTAATCCAGCTTGGGAACTATAAATCCAGTGATTACTATTCCGCAAATATTAACTATATGCTTCTTTTTTATTTTTCATATGTTTGTGATATTAACTACTTTGAGTGATGTTATAGCAACATTGAAATTGTATCTCCTAAGAAACTAAGACTATATCCACCTACTTTAGGATATCTACTAAATTCAGAATATTTCTCATTTTTCAAGCATTATGTCTAATAGACTTCAGAAATAAAGATATTAGTGAGAGAGACACAATTTTTACATAACAGTTTCTGGAGTCAATAGAAAATAAAATCATCCTGATGATGGCTCAATAAATCCGTTTGTATCAATCTCTTTGGAAACTAAGGTTTTTCTCACTCCCTGAGGCTCAGCACAGCAGGGTCTTGGGTTTGGAGAGTGAGTCAGTGGATGGCAGCTCTTTCTCTTCTCCCTCCTAAACAAGCAACTAAATACATTCTTATGAAAATGCCCAAGTAACTACAACAAAATCAACATTCTGGTTTTCTTTAACAGTCTTTCTGTTGCTGACCATACTCATTGCTCATTTGATTTTACACCTCCTGGCATTTTAGACTGTATCTCTTATAAGGAATGGATTTCATTTAAATCTTTATCTTCTAAGGCCTATGTTTTGGCTCAATTGGCTATTCTCCACCTCTAAGAGTTGACTTCCCGTATGGCATCTGCTCATGTCCTAGCTGTTCCACTTTCCACTCAGCTCCCTGTTTATCCCTTGGACTGGGAATGCATTGGAAGGCAGCCAATGCTCTGGGACTCTTTAAACTGTGACACACCTAGAGGAAACACATGACTCCTGGCATTGGATGGATCTGCTCTGGCCATGGAGGCCATTTAAGAATGAACCAGTGGATGAAAGACATTTTTTCTGTCTCTCCTCTCTGTAAATCTGCCTTTCCAATAAAATCAGTAATTTTAAAAACAATTATTTTTGATGAACTAAAACTGTGTTTATTTTCTCTGAATGTGCACGTGTCTTAACTGCAGTTAGTATAATTCTTCCTAGAGAATATCTTTCGTTCTATTGCTTTCTCATTTGTTGACTTAGTTTATGCCATTTATCAGGGCCACATATCAAGTACAATACACACTCAAACATACTCATATACATATATACATATATATTACATGTATATGTGTATAAGTATTTATCTAAATAATGCAGAATCATCAGTAAAAATAACTCTTTCTGTTTTTATTTCACAGAAGTTTGAGCTTTGTTTTACAGGGGCTGTGCTATTAAATAGAAAACAAGAAAAATGATTAAATATGTGGCTGTATAATTTTCACACATAGTATTAAAGAAAAGAAAAAGAATGTAACCATAGTGGTACTAGGTACAAGTAAATCAGACTAGTATGTGCCCTAAACAGCATAGGTGTGAACCATTGTTGAGTATTGTTGAACTCTGTAGGTGTCCTGGGATGGAGTTAGATGGAATGATTGCATCATAGGTAAAATCAATATCATGTTTTTAAACCTAAATTTTATGCTATTCAGAAATTGTAAAGAAAACAATATCCTTTCCATGAAAAAGGAAATGAATGAAAAGAAATCGTGTAAAAATTAATTCAGATCAAGCCAGACTTGCCACGTGACATGCAGTATGTTAATTGAGGAATACTTGATTTGTAAGGACAGCTCTTTCTGTTGATTAGTTTTTTAAATATATTTTTATTTTGAATTTTGAATTATGTGGTACAATTTCATATAGGCTGGGATCCCCGCCTCACAAACTCCCACTCCCCCTCAGATTATTCCCATTTTGTTACAATAGTGTAGTCCTTCATAAGGAGTCATAATTCTATCACAGCCCAACATTGTTGGTTCAGACAATGTCAGACAGTCCAGCATCCCATTGTCTACACATGTCCAACAATTTCACAGGGATCCATCTTTCTTCTGGAAACAGGGGTGCTTGTTCCATTTACCCCCATATCTGTGTATGATAGACCCCAGTACGCCATCACTATACATTTCCATAAATGATAAGCAATGAAACAAGGTCAACAACTGGTATGAGTTAGAACAGCCACAACAGCAACATCAACAACACATTACAGCACCATGAAAAAAATGTGCCACTGAGTAACCAAAACAAGGGTGACAAAAAAGAAACACCAAAGTCTCTTGGGAAAAATGATGCCATTGTATAATTCATGAGTCCTTGATGAATTCATCATGATTAGGTTGTTTTAAATGTCAATTTTCATCCTATTTTGGTAGATAATTAGAGTGAAGACTGTCTCCAGATAAAGCAGTTTGAAGGTTTCTAAGAAGTTCCAGCAACTAAGATTAAGATAAGAAGAAAGTTATATGCTAACAGAGATTCACCAGTTTAGCATGGATTAAGAGGTGGTGGTGACAGACTTGTTCCATAAATGCTTCCAGAATTCTGTGATGAACACTGGATGTGAGGTCAAAATTAATCACATTTGAGGCATGCTAGAGGTTTGGGGCCAGGATTTCTGTGTATTTTATTTGTTCTCATGATGCTGAATACATTATATTTGTGAGGTACCCAAGGGATGGTGTCAGGTACAGAACTAAATATATGTTTTGAGAATTCAGTAACGAAGTCTTGAAATTAAATTTGTGAGTTTTCTTTATATCCATGATATTTGAACTATGGCTATGAAAGACACAACAGGAAATGAGTGTTAGACTGAGAACAGAATTGTTCTTGGAAAGAGCTCCAGGTAATTGGTAATGTTCTGAATCAGCAAGACAGAAGAAGAGATAATAAAGACTTTAGGAAAAATCAGTAATATTTGCCAGTCTATATAATCATCTTCTAATCCTTTCAAAAGAGGGAGAGTTAGATACGAAGAGAAAAAAAAATGGAGAGAAAGACAGGGTGGGAAGAGAGAGAGAGAGAGAGAGAGAGAGAGAGCACTAACACCTGTTGATTCACCCCCTATAAAAGCTGGAATTGGGAAAATCCTAATCCATCCAGAGCGTTGTGCGTGGCCAGTGGGGATTTAAGCACATGGAAATTGTCCACTGCCTTTTCAGCAGCATTAGCATTACCTGATGGGAGGTAAAGAAGCCAGGACTCAAGTGGAACTCACTTTGAAATAGGAAACTGCTTTTCCAGCTGCAGCTTAAACTGGTGCAAGACTGCCTGTCCCACACCTTCATTGTCCTGTGTTCTCCATTAGGATATATGGAGCTTTTCGTTCTCATTTTCTTCATTAATATTTGAACTTCTTTTCCCTTTGTCCTTCAGAAATGTGTCAAGGTATTTGCTCCATTTTCATTTGGATCTACTGTATGGAAATAAATACAGAGCTGCATTTATTTTGCCTTTTGTGCACCTCTCAATATACTTCTTAAAACATACGTATGAAATATGTGCAATTTGTTCCATTGATCTATAAAAATTCAACAGACAATTGAGTAGATATTTGCCCAATCAACTTTTTTTTGAATTAGGAAGTAGTCCTTTTGATTTTGCAAACTGACTGCACAGAACGGCTTTAAACATTGATGCTGATGGGAAGAATCGAGTAGGAAGAAAGTGAATAGCCGGAGATGCAGGATCTGGGTGAGCATGGAGCTGATGGTCAAGGCAGTGATGAAACACCCGACTAGGGAGACAGAAACAGCTTTTCTCTTTGAAACTAAATTTACAGTTGCCCTAGCTCTTAGAAAATGCTGATTGCATGGAGATTTGCACAGTCCAAGTAGGCTTTGGGTACAGTTTTAATACAGGACAATGTAACACATTTTACCGTTTCTCAGAGAATTCACGTAAAGGTGATGGGTGTGTAATTGTTACACTTGAATGCACCAAACTTTCTTACTGTTTTCAAGGATGCAGTTCATAATGATTTCAAGATTCCTAACCTATGTGAACACTGGTCTTGCCAAGATAAACATTCTCTGCAAATTACACTTTGTTTCTACTCTGTTCCAAATTAAAATGAATTTGACATTTAGAAGCAAAATTATAAAATATTCCGGAGATTCCTTGGCATTCAAAAGACTTTGTGTTATCTGAGTTGGTATATAAACATCTCCCAACTCTGAGATTCCCTTGTGCACTTTTCCTCTAAATCATTTACAAAAGTGCTAAAAATGGCATACGCTGCCATTGTTCTCCAGGGAAAAGTGGTGTTTATACTTCTTTATTTAGAAAAATGTTTTCTTATTCTTAAAATTCCCTTTCGTATCTAAGCTAGACTTGTCACCAAGGGCTAAAAAAATGTCCAAGATTGCATGAGTTTTAAAATTCTTAATGCATTCTAGTGTATAACATTATCAATTATTTAATTATTTTTAAAACAATTACTTCCATGACTTGCTGTTTCTTCAACCTGTTTTGGTGCTTTTTTCCATCTGATTATACAGATTTACTCCTAATGTATTATCTTTTTAATGGAATCTATTAATTGTTACACTAGTAATTTTTTTTTCTTAAAATGCTGTTGGACTCTAGTCTTTCATATCATTGAAAACATCTTTTCAAAAGTCTATTTTTTAGTAGGACAGCAATTGTCTTAGCCACCCAGAGCAATTTACATATTATAGAAAAATGCATTTCTGTTTTTAAAACAAAGTTTAGGCATTTATTTACGTAAATAGCACAGATATGAATCATTAATGGAGATTTGAGTCATTTCAGGAAACAATTTTACCCACCATGCCACAATTTTGCCATGGACAGGTTACTTTTAATGTGCCCCCATCAAATGCTTCTTTTGAGGATCTGTAGCTTTGCACTTCTGAAATATGTGGGGTTTTCAAAAGCTTCATAGAGTATATGGATTATGAAAAAAGCATGAAAGGACTTAAAGATTTCTTTCCACTAAAATCAACGTATTTTAACTTGTTAATGCACATCTCAACAAGACCTAGCTTGAAGCATTAAAAACACTTTGACATCACTTTGAAAATGACACTAATCAGAGCCACATAAACTCTGCTAAAATTGCCACAACGGGAGTAAAACATCGAAGTTATGATAAATTGTGATAGAAGCATGCTGAGATCATTGATGTTTTACAAAATACGTATATTATAAGGGCAATTTACCCAAACAGTAAGTCTACAATGGACACCATTCACCATTCTACCAGGAATGAGAAGTTGTTATGATGAGACAGGCAGAACTAGACCATCTATACTGGTTTTTAAGAAAAAAAGCGAGTCTTGTTTCTGCTGTGATGGAAAAACTGCTGGATGACAACAGTCGCATTATCCAATGCCATAGCCATCCCAATCAGTTCAACTGACACAATTTTGACTGAAAAATTAAAGTGAAGCAAAATTTCTGTTGAGGATGACAAAACTGTTGAATCCTCATAAATCGCAGTTAGGAGCTGCAAATTCAATGAAAATCCTTTTTTTTTTTAAATTTCATTTCATTTTATGACACAGTTTTATAGGCTCTGGGATTCCTCCAGCCCCTCCCCATGCCTCCCCCCCCCCCATGGTGGATTCCTCCACCTTGTTGCAGTAGTACAGTTCAAATCCAGTCATGATTCCTTCATTGCGAGCATGTACAATGCATAGAGTCCAGCCTCTTATTGTCCAGATAAATTCAACAGTTTCTTGGGGAGACCGTCTTTGGTCTGAAAGCAGTGCTGGCAGAATATCATCCCGTCCAATGAAAAGCCACAACATAACATCAACATCAGTTTACAACCTTATGGAGTTAATTGACATGATATTGACTAACAAATATGTTAGAAAATGCAAATTCTTAACCACATCTTGTATCTACTTCATTGACATTTCAATTTTACTTTATACACAACTGGCTGCTTTACACCTTAAAATGGCTATAGAGCACTATTCAGCTGTCTCATGTCTATTTTCATTTTTGTATTTAGCAGTTGACAGTGTTGAAGCATGATTTTTGCTTAACTTGGCTGAGTTTAGGATAGTCCAAACTGGCTTTTAACTCTAACAAGGCATATGTCAACAGTTAAGGTGCAGAACAGTGTACAGAGAAATCTTCAATACCTTAGTGAGGAGTAACTAATCTTGGTGTCCTATCTACTAAGGTATATATGAGTCCAAGCTGACCGTTTCCTGGTTCTAAGCTTTCTTATTGGCCTCTGTCTATCTAATCAATTTTTTTTGGGGGGGGCGCGTGCTCCGGAGCCACCCATATGGTCATTGCAAGAGAGGGTGGGGTTCCAAAGTTGGAACTACGTAAGGGACAGGGAAAGCTCCTCTCCCGAATCCCAAAGGAAGTTTACTGTTCTTCTGTTTCTGAGGACTGCTCAGAATTCCTGGCTATTGTGCCGATGATGACTTTAGATCCTGTGAGGAAGGATCTGGGCATCTTCCATCCCATGTGGGACATCTGAAAGAGAATGGGTGACCTCAGATTTCTCGTCCTACGAGGCACTTCAATTTCCTGTGATCTCCTTGGTGGTTGGGATATAGTCCCTGGTGCCCATACTGCTATTCCTTGGTGAGGATCTGGGAGTCTCCAGGGTTAGGATCCAAGCCTCCTCCTGTCCTCCTGCTCCACTATGGGGTCCCTCCTGCTCTATACATATAACCTCCTGTTAAGAGGTTGTCAGGATCACTCTTGATTCCCCCGTATGTCTTTATAGTTTTGCTAATGTCTAAAAAAAAACATAGTAAGCAAAAAACAGCCACATAAAAATCAGTACACACAATGTCCTTGATTCTTAAAACAAAGCTAAGCTATTTTTATCATGCAGTTAAAATAAATGGAAATCAAAGAAGAAAAATCAGCATAAGCACCTGCAGTTGGGTAGTTGATATGCTCGTTTTCTCTCCAGTGCACAGCGGAGAAGCAGGTTAATATACATAATTTCTTGGACAATG